GTTCCTCAGGGGATGTCTGACAGCGGGGCCACCATCACCACCGTGAGCACCGCCGCCACCACCCCGATCGCCACCACTCCGGCCACCCCCGCTTCGCCAACACACATCCCCGTCCCGGCCTCCACGCAGACCCACGCCACCTCGCCCCTGCCTGCGTCCTCGATGGGAGTCCAGGCCTCAGTTTCGGCCATCATCGCTCTGAGGCGTGCGGTCCGTAGACACCGAGATCGACGGGAACGTCAGCGCCGCGTCCTGAAAATGTCCCTTCTCATCATATCGACGTTCCTGGGGTGTTGGGCTCCTCTGTCTGCCGTCAACGTTCTCATCCTGTGCCTGGGCCCCAGTGACGGACTGGTGCGGCTCCGCCTCTGCTTCCTGGCCATGGCCTACGGAACTACTATCTTTCATCCTCTGCTGTACGCCTTCACCAGGCAGAAGCTGCGCAGAGCCCTGAAAACACGCGTTAAGAAAAGGGTGGTTTCACTGCTGCAGGTGGACCCGGCCGCCAGCGCGGGCACCGTTATCCATAACTCCTGGGTGGAGGGGGGAGGCCAGAGGAAGAATCGCAAGACACGGGTGGAGGCCAGCGACGGCACCGATCGATGCCTCACCGAGGCCGTGAGAGAATGATGCTGGGTCTCAGCAGCCAGGCCCCCCCCCACACACTCCCACCTCCTCTCGTGTGTGTGTGTGTGTGTGCGTGTGTTTACAGAATTGTATTTTACCAATTTGTTAAGGTGTGAGAGGAAAAAAAAAAGAGCCAGTTTGTTTACAAAGGTCAGGACAAATCAAATGACCCCCAGGTCCATGCAGATGTCCAGAGAGCCCTCGTTAGAGTCCACTCTTTACTCTGTCGACGCACACCCTCATTAGTCTTCTCTCCGACCGCTACGGCGGCCGCTGGATTCTACAGAAAAAAAACAAAACAAAACAAAAAAAAAACCACCAGGCGTCAGGACAGAACCACTGATAACTGAACCAGCACGACACACTCCTGATAAAACTCCTGCTGCACTTTGACCTCACATGTCCATATGCACAGAGATGTACAGTATGTCCAAACACGCACTGTACATGCACACACACACACACACACACTTCACCCCCTGGTGTACTGTATATTTAATGAAAGCACACCAATAATCTACCTGAACCGATCATTTCTGTAGGAAAATATTTAAATATTTCTAACGTAGGTATAAAAATCCGACGGTTTCCCTCCTCTTCTCCATGCCTTAATTAATGATCAGTTATCAATATATTCTCCTGGTGCTGGACGTCCTGATGTCTGTTTACAACCATGTATCAGAGTGACAGTGTTTGCACACACCTTTTACACACAAACTATAGCAGAATATCAGCAGGTAAACATTTAGATACAACGTTTACAGGATCAGAAGAAACGAGCAGCAAAAAAAATGAAGAAGAAGAAAATTTCAGAGTTAATTTCCAACAACCACCGTTTTATAGGGATGTGTGTCAGACGAAGCTACAGGCTGTGTTTTTGTTTTAAAATAATAATAACAACGGAGCAGACGAGGATGTTTGTGTGTTTGTATTGATGTGTTTACATGGATGTGTGTGTGTGGGGACACGCAAACCAAACATTGTCCCGCAGACCGAACTGAAAAGCCTTTTGCGATGTTGGCGCCATTTGAATACAACACATTCAAATCAAATCCAAACAATCAATAATAAATCCTTTCTCGCTGTGGGGAAAAGCTGCACACACACGGAAAGCTATTGTGAAAAGAATGTGAAAACAGAATCGTTGCTTTTCTTTTTTTTTTTTTTTATGCTTTAAATGACAGAAACTTGTCATGATATCCACAAAGTCATAATGACACTGAAAGAAATTAAGAAAAATAGACACTGTTTAGAATCAGCTCCAAGTCTGGAGGGGGGGGGGCATGTCTTCATGTCAGCTCTACCCTGTCCTGGGAGCCAGAAACACCGATTTCAGCCGGCACTTTGAAAGACTACAGACTCTTTTCCCAGCGTCTGGGCCGAGTCCTGGACTCGTTCTCCTCTAACTGTGTCTGTCTCTCTCCTCAGGGCTTCATGTCTCATCTCCAGACAGGAGACACTCCGGTGGTCCTCCAAAAAAAAAAAAAAAAAGAAACAAAAGAAAAAAGAGAAGCGGTGGTGTTCTGGGTTGTCACAGTAGCTGAAGCTTTGTGTCAGTGAGTAGAAGAAGCGCACATTAAACTTTTCACTCCGATCCCGACTGACGACAACTTTGTTTATCTTTACTCATGTACAGTTTTCAGGGATGTAAATAACAACGTGTCTGTTGTGGATTTTACCTTTAAAAAGACTTTTTTTTTTTTTTTTTTGGATCACAATCATCTGCCGGACAGAAAAATGTCGACAAACTGTTAGTACGAAGGAGAGTTGGACTGAAGAGACGAGAGTCATGTAAATGTGTTTGTGTTCATAGACGTATGCGTGTACAACGTCATGTACATTGGTTCTCATGTGTATAGAGAAATATTAGTATTGTATAAGATTTATATTATGTGTTATTGTATAGAAGAAAAACCAAATCTGTATTAAAACCTAAGAATTAGTTTATCTGTGCAGACTTTTGGGGTTTTTTTTAGCAGAGACAGGAAGTGACGTCATGGCAGAGTCGAGTGCTTCTTAATTCAAACGAATGAGCGTAATAATAATAAAAAAAAAACTCTGCCGAAGAAACTCATCTTTTAAATCCATTTTTTTTAAAATCTGAGGCTCTAAAAACAAACATCACTCCCTGTTTTCCCTGACATTTGCAGGAGACTGAAAGCGTTCGTCTTCGTCACGTGACTGTCCAAACATACTCGTCTAATTCTCCTCTGCCTCTCGGTTTTTCCTGTTTTTTTATTTATTTATTTATTTATTTATTTCCCTCTCCCTCGTCTCTCTGATCCCTAAATTTAGAAACTCAGTCCCAGATACTCGCAGCGTTTAGTGCTGACTGTGGTGAACTCTCACTGCGCCTCACTGCACTAATCACCATAATAAAGAGGAAAGTTGTCTGGTGTTGCCTTGTCATCTGTCAGAGCTGCTCATCGTCCTGACGTTAACACAACACTTCCCTTATTTCTTACCCCAGTGAATCCACATGTGTCTATAAATATATATAAATATATACATACACATATATAAATACATGTGCTGCGTGTGTTTCCAATTCCACACTGATTTGTGCAGTGAATCGACATGGAATAATCTCCCTGCCTTCTCCATAATCTCATCCTTCTCCTCCCCTCTTTTTTCTCCTCCCTTGGTGTTTCCTCCTTTTTATTCCACATCTCTCTCTCTCTCTCTCATCTCTTATCCTCACGCAGGCCGAGAACAAAGCAAGGAACAGCTGCAGTGTCTGTGGAGGAAGGAAGGAAAGTCACCTTGGGGGTGATGGAGGAAGAAACACATGGGAAGGAGATTTAGCGGGAGAGAGAGACGGGGAGAGAGGGGGGAGTAATGGAGGGGATTAGGAAGGGAGAGGGAGGGACAGGAAGCATAATATTCTGGCATCAGGACGTCATGTGACTAACAGGGGAGCATCACTGCAGACGTCTGAGAGAGAAAGATAGAACGGACAGTGACGACACTAATGGGAAATAAAAAAAAAATGACGTCAGAAGCAGATTTTCTCACAGTGAATTGTGCCAAAACAGCCTTTGTGTCCACAAAGTTAAAACACAATTAAATCAGCAGACAGGTAAATAATTAAAAAAATTAATTGTATTCTTCCATTAAGACACACTAGTAATACTAATAAAATACTATATGTATATATATACATATATATATATATATATATATCAAATATATGTATTATTGCCAAATGTCCACTAGAGGGCGTTCTTGCGTCATAAATCAGTGACTGGGAGTCTGAGCTCAGAGCTAAGTTGGAGATTGTGTTAATTAATGTAAGAAATAGTTTTGTTTAATGTGTTTTAAATGTTTTTTACAAAGACTTTGAAGTTGATGTCAGGAGTTTTAGGGACTTTAATGTCTTTGTTTTTGTGCTGTAGAAAATAAAATGTAAAAAAAAAAATATAATAATACAATTTTAAACTTAGCCTAAAATATGAACACTAAGTAAAATGTCAACATTAGGGTCAAACGTGAACATTTTAAATACAGTTTGACAGTCTTTGTCTTTGACAGTACTGTGTTGTTGAAGTTGTCTCTCTGCTGTTGGACAGGATTCTTCACTTTGGTCATGGCCTTTGTCCCTCCGCCCTGTCTCTGGTCCATGGCCTCAGGTTGAGCACTCTTAAACCCTCCCCCGTCCTCCACCTGACCATGAGCATCTCCATAGTCTAAAAGTCTGGTATGTCACTGGTATTCATGGTCAGCCTCACCCCTCAGTTGTATTTCTGTTCTAAAGTTAACGTTTTGTTTTTTTGTTTTTTGTTTTTCCCTCCACCTCAGGTGTACAGTATGTGGTTACGTCGTTATTTTATTTTGGCATAGATCAAAGGATTTTTTTTTTATTACCGATGTTTAAAATGATCTACAGCACCACACCAGTTTATACAATTACTGGTCTCACACTGGTCTGACTGGTTTCATTGGCTACGACAGTCGAAGTCACTCCTTCACTCGTTTACACACACACACACACACACACCTTTCCCTGGAGAGGCTGAACTCAGTGCACTGTGAACATGACACGTGACTCGCTGTGTGTTTGTGTGTGTGTGGGAGTGTGTGTGGAGGCAGCTCAAAGGGCAGAAAGTTAAAACTGGTATCACATTTGTAGAAGCCTTTGATTTGAAATACAAACTTATGTGGGTTAAACGTTCGTTGGATTGTGCAAGAAAATAAGAGAAAAGTTGTTTGAATTTCAAGGTTAATGTAAAAAAAAAAAAAAACAACAAACGAATGAATGAGTGAGGAATTGAAAACAGACAGATAAGACCGAGAGTGTGACATTTAAAATTTCTGACGGAAACAGAGATGAGGAAGTGAGGGTTGGCATAGAGAGAAAAAAACAACAAACAAAAGTCAAGAATAAGCACCTATAATAACAGGATTTCTAAAGAAAATAACTTAAAAATGTAAATTTAAAATGTAATCAAACTCTAACTCATTGAAATGTTCAATTAAAAAAAACAAACAAATTCAGATTCAGATATGACTGAATTATTAAGGAAATGTTCCTAACTTATATTTTTCATTGGAACACATTTAATTTTAATGTAAATTCTGATTTTTTTTTTGTCTTCCCCTTGTGGCAGTAAGAAGAATTTTACAAACACAAGGAAGAAAAAGACGCCAGACAAACTTAAGAAAAACCTTTCAGTTCTTTGCCGGCCTTCGTCTACTCTGGTCTTCTAACCATTTTGTTTTGTGTACTTTTGTATTTGTTTTGATTTTTCCCAGATGTCAGGAATACTCTTTTCATCGGAGAAACAAAGATATTTTGCCTGGTAAGTTTTCTAATTTTGTTTTTTGTTTGTTTTTCATTTTTCAACTATATGGTGTCGTACTCCCTCTAACGGCAGAATGTGGTAAATCAGTTGATAGATGGATTTTAAGTTTAATATACAATTGGTAAATTGACTAAAAATATTAACACACTTTTCCAAAATATGTTTTTATTTGTTCTGCCAGATATATTTTTTTGTTTGTTTATTTTTTATTTTTCTAACATTTTTGTGTCTCGTTCAGTGGCAGCTTCTTTTTCAAAGCACATTTTTATACTGAAATCTGTTGAAAACTGCATTTCTTTCAGTTATTACTGACACAGAACAGGATACACACTTTGTTTAGCTGTGCAGACACACACGAGGCCACTTCCTGGTTTTAGTCAGCCCACTCCCAAAAGCACTTCCTGTTTCAGACCTCACTGTGTCCGAGGCAGAGTGAAGACGACAAGTGAAGCCACAGAGAGGAAACAGAAAAGAGAAAGAAAAAAAAAACCCACGAACAAACGCTGAAACGGTGTAGACCACAGCTGTCAAACACCAATAATAACACTGTTTGACCTTTGAACCCAGTCAGTCAAATCTGTATTGACAATTAAAGGTGACATTTTAATGTATAAAATAATTTTTAAAATGTCATTTGGATGTGTTTTTTTAAATGACTATGACAGTGTTCAGTCAAAGACTGTGAGTGTCATGGCCGCCGCTCTGTTCATCACTCTCACCTATGTCCTGTCCTCTCCTTGTCTGATCAGACTCACTGGTCTCACCTGGTGTCCACACCTCGTCGTTGGTATCTTTGGACTGTTCCGTCTCCAGTCCTGCCCTCGACGTTTGAAACAGGTAAGATCTCATTTTTCTCATTTTTGTTTTAAACCAAAATATGTATTTAAAAAAACAAACCTGTTGTGATGGAGAGACTATTGTTGGGTAGAAGGAAATAAGAGCTGACCAGACTGAAACTACTGACTACGGTGCACGTAGGCAATGTCA